GGGCAGCGGGGGCCGGCCTTTGCGTTGTTCCGATCTATGTTTGGAGTGATGCCGGAAACCCTTTTAAAATTCAGCTTCCCCAACATCCCGACCAATGCGTGCGAGACGGACTGGCAGGGGCAAGGGCGGCTGGTTCTGGCGCTGCTCAACGAGATGGTGTGAGTGAAGCTGGAACGCTCCATCACCTGCTACAGCGCCCCGATCAGCGCGTGCGAGAAGGATTGACAGGGGCAGCGGCAGCCGATCCTGGCGCTGTTCCGAGAGACGCTCGGAATGAAATTGGAGCCCGCCACCAACGCCTACTCCAGCACCCCGACCAGCGCGTGCAAGAAGGATTGGCAGGGGCAACGGCAGCCAGTCCTGGCGGTCCTGGCGGTGCTGAACGAGATGCCGGGGGTCAAAGTGGAGCCCACCATCGTCATCTGTTACAGCGCCCCGATCCGCACGTGTGAGGAGGACTGGCAGGAGCAATGGCGGCCGATCCTGGCGCTGTTCCGAAAGATGTGGCAAATGAAGCCAGCGCCCAACATCGTCTCCGTCTGAAACCGCTTTCCGATCAGCGCGTGCGAGAAGAACAGGCGGGGGCTTTGGCATCCGACCCATGCGCTGCTCCGAGGGATGTTGGGAGTGAAGCTGGAGCCCACCAGCATCTACTCCTGCACCTGGATCAGCGCGCGCGAGAAGCACATGCTGGAGCAGGGGCGGCTGGCCCCGGCGCTTCACAGCCAGATGTTGCGCGCTGCGAGATAGTGGCTGTGAAGCTCGAGCCCGCCATCATCCGCAACGGCGCCCTGGCCATCGCGTGCGAGAAGGACGGGCAGGGGCAGCGATGGCCGGCTCTGGCGCCGCTCAGCGAGATGCTGGGGCAGAGCTCCACTCAGCCACGCGCAGAGGGGGATGGGGGGAGGGGCGAGGGTTTCTTAGAAGCACCCCTGCTTCTTAGAAGGCGCGGGCCTCCTCTGTAGATGTAAGGCCGGCGCTTTCTAAGAAACAGCCTTTTTTTAAGAAGCCCCCCCCCCCCCCCCCCACCCCATTGTGCGCGCCGCCAATCACCAAAGGCTCCAGTGGCACAGGCCGCATGCAGTTCCACCCCATATTTCGGCGCACGCCCCACACGTCTCGTCGCCCCATAGGGAACTCCACCGAGGGCCCCAGCGGCAGCCCCCGCATGCAGTTCCATCCTTCATCTCGGCGCACCCCTCACACGTCTCGTGGCCCCCTAGGGAGCTCCACCGAATGCCCCAGTGGCAGCCCCCGCATGCAGTTGCACCCTTCATCTCGGCGCACCTCTCACACGTCTCGTGGCCCCACAGGGAGCTCCACCGAAGGCCACAGTGGCAGCGCCCGCATGCAGTTGCACCCTTCATCTCGGCGCACCCCTCGCACGTTTCGTGGCCTCACATGGGCCTCCACCGAAGGCCCCAGTGGCAGCGTCCGCATGCAGTTCCACCCTTCATCTCGGCGCACCCCTCGCACGTTTTCGTGGCCTCATACGGTTGCAGCTTTCGCATGGCGTACCCGTGCCAATTCTGGCACATCGGTCACACGCGTCGTGGCCCCAGAGAGAGGTTCACGAGGACGATACCCACAACTGCGTTACTCACAACGGCACATTGTTGGGGCCTTCCCTGGGATAATGTGGTGGTGCGGCTTTCCACCAGGATTCACGGCATGGCTTCATTAGGTTGGTTTCGGCATTGTTTGTGCGTGCTTCCCCACCAATCTATGCTGTCTTAGCGTCGGGTCCGCTGTTCTTGTGCTGCTGCGGCGTGTAGGTCTATCAGTCCACTCATGGTATTGCTCTTGCGCCGCCTGTTCGTAGGGTAGCACCCTACCCATCGTGACGCCAGGCCATAGCTCTCAGCGTTACCCCACCAATCGGCTGGCCTGGCAGCTTGACAGGCTGTAATTTGTACCGACGTTTCAGGTCGCCGTGTTTCGAGCTACCGTGCTCCTCGGGTTCTGGCCGCTGCACGCTTTTCGGATCATCGTCGGAAGGTGCTTCGTGGTTCTAATTTGCACTAGGCTGCTGCTTGCGCTTCAAATTACCCACGTCGGGCTTATGTTTCATTTTGGGGGGGGGGCGCTGCATGTTGGCTTTGCAGCTCCTATATTTTTTAACACGCCACCTTCTGCATGGCCATGGCCGGGCTGCTCCATCATGGCGCGTACGAGTAAGTTCGTTCGCACTTGGCACCTCCACCTGTCGACCGCGCCTGAGGTTCCTCTGCGCCGCCGGCTCAACACATAATGTGTGTGTTATGCATTGGCGGTGTGCACGTTTTGTACACTGTGCCTTCGACAGTAGTCGATCGCAATTTGCACTTCCATCTGCTGCTCGCGGCTGAGCATCCTCTGCGCCGCCGACTTAAAAAGTGTGTGTGTGTGTGGCGGCCCTGGCGCCTGCCTGGGCTGGGCCTTCGCTGTCTTCGTCTCTCCCCGCCCACCGCGGTTGCGCCGTTGCGTGTCGCCGCTGCGCCTCATTTTGTCGGTACGTGCT